GAAAAGCTAGAATTTGCCAAACCTCATTTAAATACAAGCTTTACGCTTTCCACAGGGTATTTCAGATACGCAAGATCTGAATATGAGAAAGCGTTGGGCAGCTAGATGAATACCTCGACTTCTCACCGACTACCAGAAGGCCTAGAACGTTACGTTATCCTTGGAATTTCTGGACCGTAACGAGGAAGGCGATGCGTTTCTAGACAGAATAGGTATCCATGAAAAAACTTGGCATTGGCTTAATGACCCAGATACAAGGCTGACTCGTCCATTTAGAAAAAAAAACAGGCACACAAACGCCGGAGAAGGCCAGGGTGCCATAATCCAGTGGCAACTGTCATGTTTCTTATTTATATCAAACTAATTGACCGAGTGCCCTTTTCCAAAGCAATTTTTTTTTATTTTGGTTTATGTTGTAGCTCACACAATTTAGCGTTTATGTAATTAGTTATATAACAAAATGGTATGTACAGAAAGTAAAATAAGACCTTCAGTTGCAGTTGGCTATAATGTGATTTTCTTTCAGCTGTTTGTGGGGAATTCATTTCCGCAGAAGTAGGAATATGATGGCTGAAACTCTACAGTCGACTCCACTTATAACGACCTCGCTTATTACAAATAATTGTTTAAAGCGAACTAAATCTGAAATCCCCGGCCAATCCCTTCTTTATTTCTATCAAACTACATCAGTTTATACGTACTCCTTAATATAAATTTCCGGCAAACCAAGTCCTAATTAGCAGAAAACACGTAAATTTTCTCGGTTATAACAAACTGTTATAACTGAAATATCGGGTTGCGCTCGATTAAAGATCAGGACATAAATACAGCTAGTAGTTAAGTTTTGCCTACAATTAAATCAAATACATGTAAATAATATACTGATCAATTGAATGCACTGCATAAAATAACTGATGTCATAAAATACAGATCACACCGGTGACCGTTGACAGGTATGGCTTTTTTCACGGCACATTTGCCAAACCAAACAAATCAATGAATGTTTTTGCTACTTCGCTTTTAGCAAACCTCGGACATAACTTGATTGAATAGAGCTTTACTTATAGTATCATAATCAACATCAATTTCAGTGTTTTTAACTGACATTCCCTGGATTTGTCAACGATTTGACCGATGGCGAGGGTATATATGTGAGAACTGCTCATTGATGCCCCTGTAACAATGGTAGTATAAAATTACTGTTGCCGTAATAAACTGATCACACTGGTGACCGATGACAGGTATGGCCTTTTTCGCAGCAAATTTGCCCATCCGTACAAGTCAGGGAAAGTTGTTGCTACTTCGTTTTAGCGAACTTTAGTGAACGATATTTAAATGCCCAATTGAGTTCGTTATAAGCGGAGTCGACTGTACCTTTATATTGACACATTAAACTAAAGAGTTGCTAGCCAAAGGAAGTGTTTTTGCACTGGCGGAGACTACTTGGAGAAGGCGCTGCAGTTTTTTGTGCACACGCATTATTTTACTTGGGGACCACATGTCGCTTTTTCACGGAATGTTGAAGGTTCCATGATAACCTCCATATGAACACATCTGGGGATGTTTCTAAATTCAAAACTTTACCTTTACAATGAGTAAATGTTGAACTGTGCTTAAGCCGGTGCTAGGGAGCGTGGGCGGCAGTTTGCGCTTGACAGTTCCGTCCTTGAACAGGCTAAATCAAAGCGAGCCTGCAACATTTTCAATTGTGCCGTTTTGGACTATCTTTAGGGGTTCTTTTTCTCTCTTCGTTAGACAGTGGTGTGTGTATTTTGTATGTAGATCTTTTAATACTACTATTCCATGTTTTTCTACGAACATTTTGGAATAATATAATTATAAAATATGACAAACTTGGTCAGGATACTTGTCAAGGTCATTGCTCGAATGAATTCGAACATGGGTCATCTCGGATGAAAAACTAGGTCACCGGTGCTAAAAATAGAAAAATCTTGTTAACACTCTAGTGGCTACTGTTTTGATCTAAATATCCTGTAAATTGGTCTGAAAGGTTGTTTTGATGATTTCTAGGTCAAATTCGAACATGGGTCATCTCGGATGAAAAACTAGGTCACAACGCCCAAATATGGAAAAACACTCTAGTGGTCACATTTTCGACTCAATTATCAGCAAACTTGGTCAGGATGCCTGTCTAAGTAATTGCTCGGATAAGTTTGAACATGGGTCATCTTGCATGAAAAACTAGGTCACGGGAGCTAAAAATAGAAAAACCTTGTTTACACTCTAGTGGCTACTGTTTTGATCCAAGTATCCTGGATATTAGTCTGAAAGTTTGTTTTGATGATTTCTAGATCTAGTTCGAATATGTGCCACCGGGGTAAAAAACTAAGTCACACTGCTCAAATATGTATAATCCTAGTTAACACTCTAGTGGTCACATTTTTTACTCACCTGTCATGGAACTTGGTCAGAATATTTGTCTAGGTAACTGTTCGGATGAGTTCGATGGGTCAGGTGAGCGATCTAGGGCCATCATGACCCTCTTGTTTTACTTCACATATATTTCCTAAAGTTACAACAGTTGTCACTTTACTTCTGCAACAATTCTCGTATACCTTATCGAATGTCCGTTATTTAATAATCTATGAATGAGATACCGGGTACATGTTTTACATAAAATTTTGTTACGAGGTTATTGTATTTTGGTAAGTGAAAATTAATTGTTTAACCTCCTTTGCAGTTTACAGCTATGTCATGTGAGTGAGAACAATCGCTGGAGGCTGGCATATATGCACCGCATAATGCTATACTGGATTCCGAACCGTCGCAATTAAGATGAGAGGCACCTATTGTTCCGATTCCTTCTTCATAGGTTGTGGTCCATCGCCAGTATGCAGACCGGCTGAAATGTTTCAAAGTATATTCTATTATAGAAAATTGATTTTCCATATAAAAATTGTATAGCCTAGAAAGAATATCTTCCTATTTGCAATAATTTGAAATATATGTACAATTAAGGATAATGTATAATTTAAGTACAATTCAAAATCCTTTGCCGAAGGAAAAGCGGGGAAAAGTACATTTAATACAAGATATTTTGAATACAATATTTTAGCAGAATGTACGCATGTAACAATGTATGCTTTAAAAACAATTCGACGATAATATTCATCAGTCCTTATTTTTTTTCAAAGTTAAGAATAACAATTATGTACGTAATTTGGTACATTCAGCAGAATTAACAATATATGTTGGCATTAGAAGGCGATTGCTTTTGTGCTCTACGCGAGGTTTCAGTCCTCGCGGAGCCAACCTTAGGATATTTGCGTTGCCGTTTGACAGATGTACCGTGCTGCGCCAGGTCACATTTTCTGCCTGACAAGGTTTTCAGATTGGGTCACGTGCGCATTTAGATGACCCGCTTATCTTACAACATATAAAAGTACGAATTAAAGTATAAAGATACATGGACCTTCAGGCCTTGAATAGACACGTTTTAGATATATTTTAAACAAATTAACAGAATTAACAATATATCATATGTTGTTTCAGTGAAGGATCGAATGGAAATTTATTATCTTTTTTGGTTGATTTTTCAGTAATAAAAATATGTTTTGACAATATTATTAAATAGAGAACTGCTATAATAACGTATGGATATTTGTTAATTTCATGTTTATGAGCTTGCAATTATTGCGTGCATGTTATGATGAAACATATTTCCAGTGATATTTCCATTCACTTACGCATAATTATTAAAATGCGTAAAATGAAATTACATAAAATGCAAAGATAAGGTCATAATAGACAGTACGTATATTCTGAGTTGTTTCTGTTTTAGTATCTTTAATCTTACGGAATATTTTCTATTCCAAGCATTCGGCAAACGACCATCAAATCTGCTCTATCAAAGTTTTTTCCGCATATAGTTTGATAATACCCATCGTGATATATTTCTACTCGTCCTGCAGGATCATTGTCATTGCCAACAAGTCGTATGGGAATATCTGTAAAAATCATCAGGAACATAATTTATGCATAAAGTTGCATGGGAATATTTATAGCAAGAGGGCCCGGAAGGCCCTGGATCGCTCACCTAAGAAATTATCAAACACTTTTAACCCAAGAAGAAAATTTAAAAACAAAGGACACCTTAATCTAAACAATTTTGTTTTCTGCCACCAAGGTTATTTTTTTTGTAAAATTATTTCAAAATTGAACCGGTAGTTTAGATGTTGGTAGATGAACATGGTCCTTGCAAAATATCTATTTTATTATGTGTTCTGCGTACCCTGTGGATATTAAGTCATTGGGCCAACCAAGGAAAATCGCCAGAGAAAAATCGATGCTAGGCCAATCGTGGGCCAACTAGGAAATTTTTTAAGTATTCCAAATAAACTTATTGGGACATTACCGAACCAACTACAGTTTTCTGCTAGCGAATTGTCTGAATGGGACAAGCCAAGATAAATGAAAATTTTAAAGATGCTGTTGGACCAACGTTGGACCAACTATGTTTACATTCATCTCTAAAATAAGTCTGTAGTTTTTTTTATTTCATTATTTCATTTCTTTAACAAAAGTAATTAATGTTTTTTTTATAAATTATAGATAACAGAAGCTGCATTGATATATTGATATCTCGTATGTATGTCAACATGTAAATTTTAAGCTATTTCAATATATATTTTGGAAAGAATTGTTTTTCATCTTATTTTTGTAATTCTCATTTTTTTGTTATTTACATTTTATCCATTAGCATTTATATACATTGTAATACTTTTTACAATTGATAGTGATACAGGGATCCCGTTAACGTCACGTACTGCCCATGTGCGTAGAGGTGCCGCGTTTACGTCACGTACTTCGCTTTAGGGGAGGCTATATTGGATTCTGTATGAATAATGATATCATCGTTAATTTTTAGAATTACATCATTATTATATTTTTCCGGAAGTGGCATGACATTGGGGGTCAGGTCCTCGGTCCTAAATGTGGAGACGATAAAACTTTAGCGGTATAAGTAAAGAATTTTTGTCATTACAGATAAAGAGAACTATATCCGAAATATGTAAACATTTTATAGACTTTTACCCATACACGAACTGAATTGATATAAAAGATACTATTTAAAAACATTTTTTATTCCATTCAACAATGTTTTAATTAGATTAACTGAAAATATTACTTTTATCGACTATGTTAGACATCCAGCCTTAAAAAAGACCCCTATTGCGCGGCGGTCATATTATTTGTTACAAATCTTTTTAATCTCATAAACCTCACGTGCTTTTTTGATTCTATGAGCTGAAACACGTTTACTCTACAACTTCATATACCTTCAGGTATGTATACGAGATCTGGTACATCTCGTTTTTATGGAAAACTTCGTATCCCGTGTAGGACCAATCTACAACACGAAATTCTAAGTAATTTCGATCATATTAGACTGTAGTCAAACATGTAGCTAATTATTTATGTAAGCCGCATACTGGTAAATACATAAAATCCATAGTGTGTCATGCTTTTTTCTGAAATTCATGTTACGTAAAGTATATTTCTTAATGTTACTTAACATGCGAATAAAACCAGATAAAGAAGCAAAAATGTACAGAAACAACCAGTTCATTAATTTCGCGCATTCATATCTAAAATTTCTTACTTTACTGATCTTCTTTCTATCATCAAAAGGTATTAGAAATGATCGAAATTGTGCTATCCTTAGTTAACCTTTCAGTGTTTAGCTACAACGGTTATAAAAGTCCGTTATAAACTTGACATGTGTCATCTCAATAATACCGCAGTATAAAGCGTCGGTTTACAGTCATTTAATTTCGCATATTTTCGGGATCAATTAAAATCAAATCAGGAACCACACTGTTATATGCCTATTAATAAATCGGTCCAAAATGAATTTTCGCTACAAGACTTTATTTCATCGATTCATTGCATATTTCACTCAATAAAAAAGTTCAACTTAATACTGGTCACGTAGTAACATGTATACGAAGTACATTATTTTAAATAAATAACGCATAAGTGAGACACACGCTCGATCTCGCTTTACATTTCAGTGCATTTAAAACATCGTAGGGGTCTTATAAGCGCCCTATTGATGACCCGACGTTTGTATCTAATTAATATTTGAATGATACGCCTGATTGTACAAATCATCAAGCCATTTTAGAGAATAAATTATAAACTTTTACACTATATTTTTTATAATTTTCTTTTGTCTCTATGGCGAAAGAGCTATAACACATGAATAATGTTAAAAAATATATTGTGTAGTATGCATATTTATTTCATTGTATGCGATGTGCTCATTTTGTTGAAATATCTCATCTTAAATAAACGTATATATGTAAAACGAATATATTAATGACAATAAGCCATTTTGAACATGATTGTTAATTGATATCATATTATCAGTCTTGCAGTTTCTTTTCGGTAAGGCCGATATATTTATGTTATAACCATTACAAATGAACTAAATATGCATCAATTATATTCTATGTTTCTTGTCTTAGAAGGTGGCAAGAATCGTGGATTTATTCAGTACATATATTTACATAACCTATTATTTGATGAATGTATATAATTTCATATAGGTTTAAAACTTTAAACATTTTCAAATATATGTTTTGGATTACATATCAAATGATACTATACATATATATGTAAAATAGATAAAAACAGAATCCTTAAAGAAAGCCCAACACGGCAAAATTGAAAATGTTGCAGGCTCGGTTTGATTGAGCCTGTTCATGGACGGTACTGGAAAGTGCAAGTTACCGTCCACGCCCCCTAGCACCGGCTTAAGCAGAATTCAACATTTAAACGTGAAATATTAAAGTTTTGAATTTAGAAACATCCGCAGATGTGTTCATACGGCGGTTAAACACAACATTAATGTATTTGTTAAGTTAAACACAACATTAATGTATTTGTACTTGAATAGTTTGTCGTTATGATCTTCTCCGATATTATCATCATGCTATGTTATGTATTTCATATGTATATGCACTGTTCGTTGTCTAGTATTATATGCTATTACCATGTCATCGTGGGCTTTTAAGCCTAATATGATTGAAATAAAACTATCTATCTATCTATATTTCAGATGTTGCTTCGTTTAGCTAGATAAATATTAAATTGAGAAATTAATGCTAGCTAATGATATTTCCTAACAAAACTTGAAACAGTTTACCGGATTAAATTTATTAAATGTAAACCAACAATGCAAAAGAATGCTATTCATGACGATGGGTAAATAAAAGACTGTCAAAAATTAAAAGCGTGTATTCGTTAAATAGTTTAATCGATAAATCATTAAACGAAATTATTATCATGTCTATGGTAAATTATATCTAATTCGCAGTATAAATATCTCAAACTTTTAACCACGTTTAATCGTTATAAGTCGTTTCGTCGGTAAAAGATAAATACAGGGTGGTAATGATTGAACGCGTTCAATAAATCGTTAAAGCGTATAATTAATATTTCATTTTGTCGCACTTATAACTGGAATAATGTTGAAACGAACATTTAATACAATTTGTATGTATTTATTTTATCATTGCTTATATTCTTAGATGACGAGATATTACCGACAAAATAAGTACAGACGATTTAAATCTAAATATTGTATAGATTTATCCATATATTAATCGAATTTTTGTAACGATTGATGCAAAACTAAATATTCAAAACTAAATTGGTTAATTCCATTTTATATTAAACAACATTAAAAATAGATACATGTTAATAAAAAATATTACTTTTATCGACGATAATTCTTGTTAAACGTCCAGCAATAAAAATGATCCTTATTATTAATGCATTATCTTTTATTGCCCATGATCGGATCATTTTTTATCAACTGAGTCATTAGCTATATTCAGATAATTTAATGAGTGCATCAAACGTAATTATAGTCACACTGTCTATAAAGTTGTGGTTAGCCCAATGAGGGGCCAACGATAAGGAGTTGTAAATCAGTCGTTAGGCCAACGATTTACCAACAGTTGGCTCAACGCTGACCCCAATCAGCAAACAGGCATTGGGCCAAAGTTGGCAATTATAACATATTTAAGTAATAAAAAGTCTATTTAAATTTTATCCAGACAGTATTTCGTTGTATTTTATAGGGAAATGCAAAGAAAAAAAACACATTAGGAAACAGGTCACGTCCGATTTTTCAAACCAAGGGAGGAAACTCTACACGAAATGTGAATAAAATATATTTCTGGATTTTACTGGCTTCATGATGACTAAAATGAAACTACATATGACAAAGGAAGAATTATAAATGAATATTAAAATTTACGTTTACTGATTTATAATGAATCGATACGATAATTGAGTTCAAACGTGAGCTTCCAAAACACCCAATATAGGTCTCTTTGCAACTAGCATGAATACTGTGCCTATTTTAGTGGCATTTTTGGGTTTTCCAATATCTTAACCTTGCCATTCAACAGTCGTTGTTCCCTTGCTGATTATTTAAAGATTAAATAAAATTCACGACTTCAAAATATTCTGAAACACAATGTCCGGTAAATTGACTTGTGTTCACGATGTTTTTCTCTCTTTTAATGCCCCACTTTGTAGACACATTCTTTATGATCAAAATGTAAAATTTCGTGCATGATACGGTTACGTTTACAAGTATTAGGAACCCAAAATCAATTGGGTACAACGCCATCCTTTTTTATGGGTTTAAATAAAAATTATAGCAAAAAGACATCATATTGCATTCGGTAATATGAAGGATCCCAGTACCTCTTTTGGATTTTCAGAAGAAGATATTCAAGTTTCCATTATATACATGTATATAAGGAAAATCAATGACCCCATTGGCTGGACCAATTTTGACCCTAGGGCTTTCATTAAAACAACTTGGAAAATATCCAGTAAAAATGTAATATGCTAAATATCTAAGCTCTAGTTTTTTGGTTTTCCACAAGAAGATTTTTTAAATAAGTTTTTACTATAACTAGACCTA